TAATGGGTGCGTCACCGACAACGAAAGATGCTGAGATGAATTACCCACCATTTGACACTCAAAAGGCAAACGATAGAACACCCAGAGATCTGCCATTTCATTAACAAACACTGTATCATACGCCAATTTCTATTTGAGATACGTCCGATTTAGGTTCACAGATAGCGACAAACTTTGCATCATAAAGGCGAGTTAACTTGAATAGTCTTCGTAGATTTGGAGCTTTTGACACCCCTCTAATGTTCCAGAAAATTCCATTAATCATGTGATAACAATTGGAAAGAATTTAGTGAGGAGATTAAGGAGGATCTCAGCTTCCTGTCCGAAGGGAAAATGGCTCGGGTACCTTTTACTCTTGCCCTCCGGAAACCTTGATCAAAAGCCGATGTTTGGTCAATATTGAGAGAGTCTAAAGTCGAAATGTTGCTCACCTTGTGACCATTCGACAGCCGTGGAGATAAATTCTGCACCACAAAAGGTCCCTCCACTTCGTTCCCAACCTCTCCATTTAATCTCCCACCACCCCTTGTTTGCATTTCCTGGAAGCTCGAACCTTCCCCCCTACCATTGAAACTAAATAACTTGTCCCCAAACTTCCAGTGATATCCGCACCTTGCTCTCTACTGCCCATGCTGCACACCAAAACCCCTAGAGCAGCATCCTCCAAACCTGGAACCAATCTGTCCGCATTTGTCACTGTGCCATCCTCACACCTGATCTCCTCACTCTTTCCCCTCTCAGATGTTACGTGAGTTGCACTGGTAGTCCCCATACAAGCATGGTTCGAAGTCTCGGCCGAGACCGAGACGACTCGGCCGAGTCGTCACCGTCTCGGCCCTTACCGATACGATACCGTGACGAAACGATACCGAAATACTTGACTCGCCGAGAAATCGGCCGAGTCGTCACCGCGACGGATTGACTCAGCCGAGTCACACCGAGTCACTCCGAGTTATCCCGAGTCACGACGAGAAATCAACCGAGTCACACCGCGACGGATTGACTTGGCCGTTTCTTTTGCTATTTTTTAATTATTTTTATTTAGCATACTTTTTTATATTATTAACAATTTTTAGAATATTAAATACTTTAAAATTTGCGTCTCACCGAGACCGTGACCGATATGCCGAGACCGATGTGGAACGTTCCGGGCCGCGACCGTGACTTTGAACCATGCATACAAGGCCCTACAGCAGTAGCATGGTGAATGGCTACTCCATCCTCCTTGCAAGCTTCGTCCCCCCACAGCTGATACTGCATCGTCTCCCCCGAGTGCGATGACCTGTATTGCTGTTGCAACAGCCTCTGAACTCACCATAGCCTTCACCTCCCCAGAGTGCCTTGGCATGAGACACACCTCGAAGGCCGGTTGATCCCCCTTCTCTCGAAAACTCAAATCCCGCTGAGTATCTTGTCTTGCGACATACACCATTGGTTTGCTACCAAGGCCGTGTGCCATGTGACTGCCAGAATGCATTTTCGCTTGGACTGGATGAAAAACATTCGCGTTGTCCTTCTTACATTCACTGGCTGCATGACCCAACACCAACAAGTAGTACAATACTTAGGCAGATTTTCTATCACGATCGTCTAACAAAAACCAGATTCACCCTCAACCGCCACCCATACTTTTGAACATATCGGTTTCAACAGGTCAATCTCAACACATACCCTTGCCACACTTGGACGTGTACACGCCGCAGTAGTTGAGTCCAGGAATAAAGGTTTTCCAACTAGGGCTAAGATGGAGAAAAGAGAATGTTTGTCAAAATAGTGGATCGGTAAAGCAGGTAGAGACACCCAAATTGGAACCAACGATGATTCTCTGTTAACGTGGAAGTCACGAGTCCAACGAAAAACCCGCATCGGGTATTTCCCCAATTGCCAGATACCTCTAGCCCAGAGACGGTTGAAGTCCACCTCTGCCGAGCATCTAATAAGAACATGTCAATAATCAAGTAACCCGACTGCCACATGGTCTCGCAAATTCAGTGTATGGAAGAATTTCCGTATCTCCTCCAGCACTGGCCGCCCATGGGAGAATTTGCCCACTAATGCCTAGCAATAGGGTGCAGCAAGTTTTTCAGCCTCCTCCTTAGAGAAAACCACAGTAGCCTCGCCTTTGTAGCTTGTAACTGGCTGGACTTGAATCGGAGATGAAGCAAGTTGAGAGAACAGCTGTGAGAACGACCTTGCCGCTGATGGAGAGGGGTGTTGCCCCTCAGCCGATGGTTGAAGGGCAGCCATAGAAGGCGGCAGAACCTTAACCTTAGCGGCTGAAACCCTAGCGGCAGAACCTTCTTAACGTGGAAAAGGTAAATTTTACTCTCATTTACGAGTACGTTAATTATTTTATCAAGGATGTAAGACCGTTTTATTTATTTAAAGGTACTAGAAACATCTAAGAAAGACTACCTATCATTCTAATATTTTATTCTAAATGTATCATCATTCTTTTTAAGTTACACACTAATACTATAAATTTATATGGAAACAATATAAGTTAACTAATATAAGCGAATAGATAGTTATTAATTTATATGGTTAAATCCATGGGCCATAAGAAATAATTGTCCTATTGATGAAAACTTTTACTCATTTTTAAGGTACATTAATCATTTCGTTTAAAGGTATTAAAATCATCAAATAAAGACTACTTGTAATCTATCATCATCTTTTTAAAGTTACACCGCTTGTCTTTATAGTTATACGCTAATATTATAAAAATACACTAAAACAGTGTAATTTGACAAACATAAGTAAAGAGATAGCCATTGATTGACATGATTAAATCTATAGGCCACTACAAAATTATCATTTTATTGATGTAAAATTTTACTCTCATTTAAAGGTACATTAATTAACTATTAGGGATATAATACCATCTCATTTGTGACAAACACAAGTCACAAAATGTCATTGTGGAAAACACAAAAAGTCGGATCCTCTTGTTTTCAATTTTAACTATCAATTTCCAAACTTCAAGTATTCTAATGTAAGTACTATTGTTAAGTTTTCTTTTTCTTTAGAAATTCTTCTATTATATTTTTTAATCATTAGTTATTCTTTATTTAAATATTTATTTTTAATCATTGATTATTCTTCCTCATAAATAACTTTCACGTGATATGGTATAAGTGATTTTTTAATGTTATCTTACTTTAATATCAAAACAAACCTAATATCCTTGAATTCTAAGATAATTTTTGCAAAAAGTAATCCCAATCATAAGTTTCTCTATAGTGAGTGATAAAAATTTAGCATTTTTCATCATAGCACTCGCATTAATAAAGAATAGAAATGTAGTGAGTTTTATTTTAATTACTGTTTTAGACTTGTCCTAGCACTAAAATGCTAGTTATAGTATCTTGAATTTGGAATTACAATTTAGGGTTATTATCACTTTACCCCCTTAAACTATATTACTACTCTCAATTTATCCTCCAATGTTATCTTTTAGTCACTTCACCACATAGGTAATTTAACTCAGCATGTTAATAAATTTTTGGCAAAAATGCCCTTTTATTTTGTAGCATTATTACATTGTTATTATCACTTTATCCCTTTAAATTATAGTGACATAATCACTTTACTCTCTTCTAGATACTTTACCCTATCATTAATCTAAAAAGTATATTACAAAATGTTCAAATGTATTTAACTTTTTTATATATAATTAAAAATAAAAAAAATTGGAATCCAAAAACATAAAAATAAAAGGATTTTCTCAAATTTCTTTTTTCACACTTATTAATACTTGGAAAAGAAAAGGAGATAGGATAGAAGGTAACAAAAAATTAGATTTTGAAAGAAAGTAAAAGAAAAAATTTAATATTATCATATTACTTTAATGTCCTCGAGATTAGGATTGGAATCGAGTAATAAATATAAAATTAAAATAATTTTAAAATAATAAAAATATTGAATTCTTTCGTGTTTGTATTAACAAAAAAGAATTGAGCTCTCTCTCTCCCCTCCCCTATTTTTCTATTTTTTTCAATATTAATAAGATTGCTATAAAGAAAGAGATTAATGTTTTGACTTTTTTCTCTTGATACTAAAAAGAAGAAGAGTCACTCTAAATTTTTTATTACTTTTATTATACAAAAAAGAGGCTACTATCTTCTAAAGTTTTTCACTTGTTAAGTTGGTTTAATGATGGGATAAATTGTCTAAAAAATAACTCTATGGGGTAAATTGATAATAAGCTTATAGTTTATAGAGGTAAAGTGATAAAAATTTTAAAAGTTAAACATGTCTTATCACTTGAATTAATAAATTACGTTAAGTTTGACCGCTAGTTTTGGGGATAAAATAACTAAAAAATAACGTTAAGGGGGAAATTGATAGTGACGCCGAACATTAAGAGGGTAAATTGATAATAACCCTAAATTGTATTTCTGATACTTTGTTTCATTCTTTTGTATTTCTACGCTCTTTATTATTCACCCCCAGAAGCAAAATTTCTGCCTCCGTCTATAATATTGAGGTAAATTCATTTTCCCAGTAGAACAAAAGCGTGAAATTTTGTAGAAAAGTAGAACTTCATGGAAACACATTATGTCAAATAGCTTGTAAAACCGTTGCATCCATATACCTACTGGTATGTCTAACACAGATTAAAAAAGGGCTGGCAAAAGCAATGGGCAAGCACATCCGTCAAGAACTGAAAGATACTCTTAAACCCCGTAAATGAAGAATGGACAGACCAACAGCATATCCCTGATATCGAAAACTACCAAAAACAACTTCACCTGCTCACAATGTTGGTATAGTCAGTCAGCTAATTTCTCAGATTCAATAATTATAGTTTTTATTCTGGATTCATAGCAAAGGGAAATGCGTGACTTGCGTGAGGTTTTCCCCGAAATTGTGAAAGGAGAACGACCAATACCTAGTTAGGTCTCGAGTTATTTTCATGGCATTAAAATATTTGACTAAGTCCTGAATAAATAGCAGTAGTTTCTGTATTCAAACTTCAACTTTCGCTATTAGTTAGTAAAGATGGAGGCTGCTGGCTTCCTGGTGATGCTTGCCATTTTGTTGGTTTCATCGTCATCATTTTCTTATGCTTATGATAACAATCCTTTACAGGATTTCTGCGTTGCCGTGCCCGATACGTCAGCAGCTGGTAAGTCCATTTCCAAGCTACAATTTTGAACATGTTTCATTTGGTGGGATTTTCACCTGGGAAGTTCACCTTTCTGGTCTGCCATTGCAAAGTCACCAAAATGTTCAGGTTGATGAAAAACTGTATTTTAGGATCTGATGCCTTGACAATTTTCAAGACCATTCGGATTGAATCATGTCAAGTTGATGGCTCAAGCAATTATCCAAACCCCACTAATTTGCAAAATTTTTGTAAGAAATGTCCCTGTTTTAGTGATTTGATTACAATTGTCATAAAATTATGAAGTAAACAAGCTTAATCCTTTTACTTTAAGTAGTATACCAATAACTGCTCAGTAATTCGAGTCAATAGAGGCTTCTTTATGCTTTTCGTATGAGGTGTTTGGTTTCGTATTCTTGAAGCAAAACTGAATCGGAGTTGAAGTCATAAATTCTATTATACATGGGTTTTGGTCCATTATAGTTGCATATTTGATTTGGAATTATAATGGATTTCATTCTATTAAAGAGTTAATCAATTTGAAATTCACAATATAAGTGGAAAATAATGAAGGGTAAGACTTAATATTTTCATTCTCATAATTGAATGATTCCTATACTAATCTTATAAACAATAGGTATTGATATCATAATTTTGATGCCAATTTCTACCTCTCCTAGCCACTTAACAAACACCCACTTAAGCTACTTGATGAGTGCATAACTTTTACTATTGAATATCATCGAGAATACCCGTTAAAAGATGATCCTACGTACCTTCTTCACTCCAAACTTTCATATATAAATTTATGTTCTACTGCATGTAATTATGTGCTATTTGGGTTCAAACTCATTCAAATGTCGTAAAAATTAAATTGATAATCCAACAAAACGGAATTTATTAAAAAAATGTCCTGTATTTTGACATCGGAAACAAAATTAGGCAACAAAACACTACTTTTAAAATCAAGGAATAATATTTACCAAACACGCATGTTAAAAGCACTTGTCTTCTAGAAGTAATTTTTTTAGTAAAAGTCCTAAATCCAAGAATATCAAACTCAAGCCACAATTGGATCTTTGCTGGGCTTGGTAATGAAAGGGATTCTGGCCCAAAATTTTTTTGCGGTGCCCCACTGACTGTCCTTCACAAGGGGAGAACAAGCTGCAACCATTGATGCAGATACTTCATGTATCTGTTTTCTGCAATTAAGCATAAAACTAGGCACAACCCAACCATGTCTGCAATTGTTTAACAAAAACAAGTAACGTGCTAGTTCCTCTTTTTTGTTTCCATTCTGCTTCATATTTTCACAGTTATGTGTGTAATTGGAATTGTAAGAAGCGAATTTAAGCTAAATTTTACATAAATTATTGATCTTGATTCTTATGCAGTGTTTGTGAATGGAAAGATCTGCAAGAACCCAAAACAGGTAACAACTGACGATTTCCTCGCTACGGGCTTCAACAATCCAGCAAGTACCAACAATTCCTTAGGATTTGGGGTAAAGGTGGCTGATGTTAATCTAATACCCGGCCTCAACACTCTCGGTCTCACTGTACTTCGTGTTGACTTTGAGCCAGATGGTGTTGTTCCTCCTCACACACATCCTCGTGCTACTGAGGTCATCGTGGTATTGGAGGGTACAATCTATGCTGGTTTTGTCACCTCCAATCCAACTGATAACACAAAAAATAAGTTGTTCGCTAAGATTTTGAAACCTGGAGATGTCTTTGTCTTCCCAATTGGCCTAGTTCATTTTCAAAGAAATGTGGGGGAAACAAAGGGCAAGGGAATTGTGGCCTTTAATAGCCAAAATCCCGGTGTCATCACAATTGGAAATGCAGTTTTTGGGACAGACCCGCATATTGCTCCTGAAGTCCTCACTAAATCATTTCAGCTGGACAAGAAAGTAATCGAGTACCTCCGGTCGAAGTTCTAGAGGAACCAATTTTTTTTTCATCGTATGAGGGTAATCCTTTGTCTTCTTCCCCATTCAAAATAGACTGATGTTGGATATGTCTATGTTGTAAACTTTTCTTTATACTTTAACTTTCGTATCGCTGCATACATTTTTCTTAGATTATTTTTAGTTTGGTGTTTTCTTTGATCGTGACATGGCAAATCAATGTAACAATTATCGATTACAATGATTCGTATTTTAACTAATTTTCGAGAGCGTGTTCTTTGATAACATTTAGGGTCCATAAGGATAAAGAGATTTAGATGCTTTATTCGGTTGATGATTATTGCACCTCAGATGTAAATTTTGAGAAATCGAAACTTCTGAGGTTGGAAATGTTGGGTTTTAGGGATACTACGCAGCGGAAAAATAAAAATTTTTCCCTAAAACCATCCAGGAATCACCCTAGACTTTACGTATGATGTACTAAAAGTAGGGTTTTAGGATTACATTAATCCAAGCGGCGTCTCCCTGCAGCGTTGTTTGAGGATGGTCAGCCCTTAAGCAGTCCAGTCGTCCTGCCTCTACTGATATCCATGCTAGAGCAACCCTGGATCGTCTCACAAACTATGTATTGAAGAGAAAAAGGTGCTAGCCTTCTTACTCTTTTCGAACGTATATTTTTTCTCTCTCTCATATGTGGCGCTCACAGACTCAATTTTTCTCCCGTTTTTATTTTTACCTCATTTCCTGTATCTGTATCTCAGCCCAAAGTATCAATTGGAGAGAGAGAGAGATATATGATAAGATAGAATGATGAGTCTTCTTGTCTGATTCAAAATCAAAACAATAATACTTCTCATCACACAAGACTCTATCTATCATTATCTGATAGATGAGAGATAACCATTTACTCTTATCTGCTCAAATAGGCCTGGGATTAATTTTCTTTTAAAATTAAACCCCGATAATTTACATAGTTTCAATCTAGGATTAAATCTCTATTGCGTGTGACCCAATAGGTCCCGAATGCATTGGTAATAATTATGGTTTAATAATTAGATAAAATAAACGACTTTATTTTATCATAACTTATAATAAATAATTAATCCATAATTATAAATTACGAGCGGTATCTAGCAACACATCGCGATTGCCCAATTATTCGGAATTAGTCAAGGGAATTTGACCTAACCTTTCCGTGAAAAATTACCGTGTAATTATTATCCTTTCACCAAAGATATCCAATTAGTCAGGAATAAGGAATAAGTGCCAATTCCCTGATGACTAATTAAATTTTATAGTTCCCGAAATTTACCCTTAATTAGGTTAAATTGAAGACATTCTTCAATTTACCTAATGGTCGACTTTAGGGTTAATTTCTTACTAGTGGCCATCCGGATATCAACTCCTTCTATCAGCGTAGTAAATCCTATCTTAATCACCCATTTTCTTTACGTGCTTCACACTACATCCAACTTCTACACTTTAAGGTACTCTCAAAGAGTAACATGTAATTAGAGTCAAAATGTAGTGATTCCCACTCAAGATTCTATGGTGATCTCAAGTCGTAGGATCACTTACACAATTTTTCACTAGAGATACACCATTGGCACTAGATAGATATCCTAACGGGATCTCTAAACGGATCACTCCAATGCATTTGTACTTATCAAATCATCTACACATTAGCCTAAGTATCTTCATACCATAGTTGATGAGAACAACCACTAATTACATTAATTAGAGGCTAACTGTGTACTAGTTTTACCGTACTAAAGATGTCATATTTCATTAGTACAAAAACTAGGGAATTTTAATAATATTACTATAAATGCGATTGATATCTCATAGTCACCAACTCTTGTGACTATCATCACATTAGTAAATATTCTAAGGACTTTATCGATTGTATCTAATATTTAACAGATAAATAAGAAGTTATTAAAATACAAAACATATAATAAGGAATGTACAAAATAAAAACAAATATATTGTTTTAGGGCATACATTCCAACAATCTCCCACTTGCACTAAAACACATTGTCTCTGTTTTTTATCCCATAAGATAATACATGACTATCATGCTTCTTTTGAGAAAGAACTTTAGTAAGAGGATCAGCTATGTTATCCTCTGTGGAGACTCTCTCTATCTTTACATCATTCCTAGCAACGATTTCTCTAATCAAGTGAAATCTTCTAAGCACATGTTTGGATCGCTGATGAGACCTAGGTTCCTTGGATTGAGCTATAGCCCCATTGTTATCACAGTACAAAGTGACCGGATCAACGATGGTTGGAACCACACCAAGTTCAATTACGAACTTCTTGATCCAAACTGCTTCCTTAGCTGCTTCCGCGGCCGCAATATACTCAGCCTCTGTTGTAGAATCTGCTGTGGTGTCTTGTTTGGAACTCTTCCAACAGACGGCACCTCCATTAAGAGTAAAAATGAAACCTGACTGCGATTTACAATCATCCTTATCTGATTGAAAACTTGCATCAGTATAGCCTTTGAGTTCTAACTCACCCTTTCCATAAATTAAGAACAAATCTTTGGTCCTTCTTAAGTACTTAAGAATGTTCTAAACGGCTATCCAATGACCCTCACCTGGATTAGCCTGAAATCTGCTTGTGACACTCAGAGCATAGGAGACATCAGGTCTTGTACATAACATAGCATACATAATTGATCCAATTGCTGAAGCATATGGAACATTGTGCATCTTATCAATCTCAACTTGTGTCTTTGGACACATGTTTTTAGAAAGGCTTATACCATGAGTCATAGGTAAATTACCCCTCTTAGACTGATCCATGCTAAACCTCTTTAGCACTTTATCAATGTATGTAGATTGTGAAAGACCTAGTAGCCTATTAGATCTATCCCTATAGATCTTAATGCCTAATATATAGGCCGCTTCTCCTAAATCTTTCATGGAAAAATTCTTCGACAACCAACCCTTTACCGATTGTAACATCGGTATATTGTTTCCCATTATTAATATGTCATCTACATATAAAATAAGGAAAACAATTGAACTCCCACTAACTTTCTTATACACACAAGGTTCATTCGGATTCTTGAGAAATCCAAACTCTTTGATCGTCTCATCGAATCGGATGTTCCAACTCCTAGATGCTTGCTTAAGTCCATAAATAGACTTTTGTAGCTTACATATTTGACTAGGATTTGTAGATGTAAAGCCTTCAGGTTGTGTCATATACACATCCTCATGCAATGTCCCGTTAAGGAATGCGGTCTTTACATCCATCTGCCAAATCTCATAGTCATGATATGCTGCTATGGCAAGCAATATCCGAATGGATTTAAGCATAGCTACTGGTGAGAAAGTTTCATCGTAATCGATTCCCTCTTTCTGCTTGTAGCCTTTGGCTACCAGTCTAGCTTTATAGGTAACTACATTACCATCCATGTCAGTCTTCTTCTTGAAGATCCATTTACACCCTACAGGTTTTATCCCTTCAGGTGGATCAACTAAAGTCCACACCTTATTGTCGTACATGGAATTTATTTCAGAATTCATGGCTTCTAACCATTTAGAGGAGTCTGGATTACTTATTGCCTCTTGGTAGGTAGTAGGTTCGTCATCTTGAATGACTAGAACATCATTGCTATGGCTCACAAGAAATTGGTATCTCTTGGGAGTTGAGCGTGTTCTTACTGACCTACGAAGCCCTTGTGTATCAACAGCTTCAGTATCTGCCCCATCATTATGTGGTTGAAGCTGTTCTTCATTAGATCGTTCAATGTTTGTTAGATGATCCTGAATTTCTTCAAGATCTATTCTACTCCCACTGCTTCTTTCTAGAATGTATTCTTTCTCTAGAAAAATAGCATGTTTTGAGACAAACACCTTTTGCTCAATTGGATTGTAGAAATAGTATCCTATAGACTCTCTTGGATACCCTACAAACAAACATTTGTCAGATCTAGCTTCAAGCTTGTCTGACTCTGCCCTCTTCACATAAGCTGGGCAGCCCCAAACCTTCATATAAGACAGATTTGGTTTCTTTCCTTTCCATATCTCATATGGTGTGGAGTCGACAACTTTAGTGGGTACTCTATTAAGAGTATAAGAGGCTGCATCTAATGCAAATCCCCAAAATGATTTTGGGGCACTTGAGTGGCTCATCATAGAACGAACCATATCCAATAAGGTTCGGTTTCTCCTTTCAGATACACCATTTAACTGTGGTGTACCTGGAGGAGTCCATTGTGGAACTATTCCATTATCCTTTAAATAAACTCCAAACTCATCATTTAAGTATTCTCCACCACGATCAGATCGTAGTGTCTTAATGCTTTTATTGGTTTTTTTTTCTACTTCATTCTTGAATTCCTTAAACTTTTCAAAGGATTCAGATTTGTATTTCATTAAAAACACGTAACCATATCTCGAATGGTCATCTGTGAAGGTGATGAAGTATGAAAAATCACCTTTAGCAGTGATCGACATTGGGCCGCATACATCAGTTGTACTAGCCCAAGTAAATCACTGGCTCGTTCCCCTTTCCTAGTGAAGGGCATTTTGGTCATTTTGTCAAGTAAACAAGCTTCGCATGTATCATATGATTCATAATCAAATGAATCCAAGTATCCATGTTGGTATAACTTGGAGATGCGTTTTTCATTTACATGACCAAGCCTACAGTGCCAGAGGTAGGTTTTCTTTAGTTTATCTGTTCTCATTCTTTTTTCACTCACGTTGAGAATTTGATGATCAAGATCTAGGATATATAAACCGTTATTCCAACTTCCAGAACCATAAAACACACCATTTTTAGAAAAAGAACAACATTTATTCTCCTGGGTTATCCGAAACCCATTTAAATCCAAACAGGAAATAGAAATGATGTTTGTTGTAAGTGCTGGAACACAAAAACAATTTAATAATTCTAAAATCAATCCACTAGGTAAAGTGATATAATAAGTCCCTACAGTTTAGTGGAAAGGAAGGGAGGCTTGTCAAGGTTGATCACTGCTCGGCTAATTCCCCCGTCGACCAGCACGGCTTCGGGGTAGTTCCAACTGTAGATCCGAAATCATGACCCATCAACTTCTAGAAAGCCACCTCTTCGTGGTCCCTCGCGGAAGGGTCGGCCTTCGATTTAATTGGCCTCCACCAAAAACCCCAAGGGAAGTCCCCGGCTGGGACGAAGAA